TGGCCCTGTTCTCCCCAGACCTCAGGGTGCCTAACCGGGAGGCAGCCAGGGGAGTGAGGACCCACTGAGGGGCTCTGTTGACTAGGCTCAGCAGGGGTGCAGGTGATGTGGGTTGGAATCCTTCACACGTGGCTCCCACAGTCCTCCCCACTTCCTTCCCATCTGAGAACTGCCTGCTCCTGATGTCTACACCTGGAGTCTGGGACGCCCAACTGGGCAGCAGAGAAACTGAGGCACAGAGACAGACTGTGTCCTTACAGGCCGCACAGCCTGCCAGGCCCCTATGTCCAGCCAGAGTCCCTGATTAGCCTGGGCTGGAGTGGTTGTTTAGAGGCAGACTGTTCCCACGGTTGCCTTTCGTAGTGGGGGCCTGTGGACTCCTCCTCCCAACCCCACCTGACTCCCAAGTCTCAGTGACTTTGCTCAACCAGGAGCCGAAGTGCATTCCTGGGTTCAGGCCAGCCCACCCACCCACCCGCTGCAGTCCTGGAAGCCCAGAGGTCAGGGCAGCAGGAACAGTGGAGACAGCAGCGGAGGGGACATCCCCCCTCCTCTCCCCACCACCCTGGTCAGGCAGAGGCCAGGGTGCAGGGACCGCCTGAGCAAAGGCCCAGGGAAAGGAATGGGTGTCATTCTAGTCCTGAGGCACAGCCAGGGAGGTCCCTGAATGTCCTTCCTCAGGAAATGATGGGGGAAGGGACAATGAGAATGAAGGAGAGGATTTAAGTCTCCCACCCCCACCAAGGTAGTCCTGGGCTGAGCCCCATGCGACCTGAAGAACCAGGGTGAACCCCACCAGTGCTTCGGGTCCAGGAAGCCTTGTGGCCAGCTCCCACTTCTCTTGCTGCTGTGCAACCCAGAGCAAGGCCTGCCCCTCCAGCCTCAGTCTTCTCCCCTGCAAACGGGGCCACGGCCTTTCCTTTCAGGCCAAAATAAGGATTGAGGCTGCGTGCAGTGACTCATCCCTAAAGTAATCCCCAAAGTAATCCTAGCACTTTGGAGGCCAAGCTGGGAGGACTGCTTGAAGTCAGGAGTTTAAGACCAGCCTGGTCAACATAGTGAGACCCCATCTCTATTTGTTCAAATAAAATTTTTTTTAAAAATTAAATACATAAAATAAGGATTGAGGAGTGATGGGTACACCAGTTGAGCCCACCTCCATCTCACCCCTGGGGAGCCCCAGGGACACAGCCCTCCAGGGCTTAGACCCGGTGGTACTCTACTCTGCAGGCACAAAACTCTGTTTGTCTGTGGGCCCTTTGGTATCATCAGGTTTTTGAGGCTCCTGAAGGAGAGTCCCAACCCGGCCTCACCTGGGCCCTGGCCCCAGTGCCCCTGGTAATATCCAGGTGCTGGGCTGTGATCACCGCCCCCCACCAGCCCACCTCCACCAGCCTTTCCTAGATCCCTGCCCCAGGTGTTGGAACGGTGCCCGGAGGAGGGAGCAGGCCCCAAGGGAGGCCTGGAGGGGCTGCCAGTGGTGAAGGCTGCTGTGTCTAGCTGTTCCCTTCCAGACCCACTCCCTCTGGGCTGTGTCCCCAGCTGGTCCAAGCCCTGATCCCTGGAATCTGGGGACCTCTTCCCATTTGCTGTTCCCTGAAAACCAGGCCTCCCTCTGGAGAGGGTCACAAGCTTGGGTTTCACTCTGGGCTTATACTTGGAAACCCCCCAGGGGCTTGGCTCTGACTAAGATGTTTTCCTCTAGTGTGATGCCCAATTCCCATTCCTTGGAACTCAGCTTCACCTCTCGTGTCATTAGCAGGATGAGTTGGATGCCCATGGGTCTGAGAAGGTGCCCAGGTTCCCAGCATCAGCTGGCCACCCACTGCCTAAGAAAGCACCAGGGGTGCGGCACCCCCTGGTGGCTAGTCCTAGGTGTCACTGTGCAGCCCCAATAAGTGAGCACCTGGCCCCAAAGTCCAAGGGATCAGGGTGGGAAGGGGCAGGGGTTGGCATGGACCTTCCTCTGGCCCCTAGCCACGCACCTGGCTCGCCCCATGCTGAAGATGCTGAGGCTAGTTCCAGCGCCCACAGTGTGAAGATCTCCGAATCCCACCTCTCCGTTCCTCCCCAGCCAGATGGCTCCATTTCACACACAATACACTGAGGCCCAGAGAGTGGGGAGCCAGGCCAGGGAGGCCACCTGGAGCCTGACACAGTGGCTTCATTTATTGTGATGCTCTACCACTCACAGGAGACCCCAAAGTCCCCTTCCTGGTCCTGGTGAGTATCTTGTCCCTGCATTGCTGGTCAGCTTTGTCCGCCCCGAGCACTCAGTAACCGGCAGGCTCCCCGCCTTTCCTGGAGTCCGAGGCAGCTGCCCAGCCACCAGGTGTGTGGACGACAGCTTGCACCACAGCGATGAAGGTGGATGCAATCTCAGTGTCATGGTGCCGGGTTTTCAGGGCTGCAGTCACTGCCTGGGGGTGGGAGGAGACAGGAAGCCTGAGCAGGGCTCCAGATGCCACCTGAACCATGCCTGTGTGGTCACAGGCCTCAGCCCAGGTGGTGCCATTTTGGGCCAGGTCATCAGGAAGAGCAGGTTGGGGCCTGCTGGGTCTCACTGGAGCAGGTGGCTTGGCCCTTATGGCACAGGGGCTCCAGATGGCCCAGGCACCAGAGAGAGGACACCAACCATTGTCCACTCCGTGATGACCCAGGCCTCCAATCCAGGATGCCCTGGGACCCCACACCGTGACTCAGTTTCTCCAACCCCCAGCGCACCTGGTCAATGTTTCTCTCCACTGTTGTGACATTGGGTAGAAGCTGGTTGTGCAGCCGGGGCTCCTCCACGGCCCGCTTCACATCATAGCCGAACCAGAGGTTGTAGATGATGGCCTGGGGCATGGGAGTGTGATCAGCATGGCCTGGGGGCTGTGCAGGGTGGGCAGAGCCAGGGAGAAAAGGGGTGACACATACTAGTGCAGTGGCCGTGGTGATCTGCGTGCCCCCAGAAGCTCCCACCACCATCCGGACCTGGCCGTCCTGGCCCACCATGATCGTTGGACACATGGACGAGAGCGGCTGCTTCCCTGTGGCCGACAGGAGAAGGCGGGGATGCCGGTCAGCTGCCTGCCCAGGACACCCCCCTCTCCACCCCAGCCCTTCACCCCCAGACCTCCACCCCATACCTGGCTGGATGAAATTGGCAGGTGAGGGGGGCACCCCAAACTGATTGGTGATGCTGGGAGAGCTGAAGTCATCCATTTCATCATTGAACAGGATCCCACTGACTGGGGAGCGGACCTTGGAGCCAAAGCTACCGCCCAGCCAGGTCAGACAGCGCCTGACCTCGCCCGACCCAACCTGGGCTCAAACTTACTCCCTGAGAGGCCCAGGATAAGCTACCAAGGTCGGGCCTCAGTTTCCCACCAGGAAAAGGGGTGATGGAGCCACCTTACTGGATAAGTGAGCAGTCCCTGGACCACATGCCCCTGGCCCTGTCCCACCCAGGGGGCCCAGCAGCCCCTACTAGAGGTTGATGGTGCTGGTGGCGGACACAGCACTGCCGTCCTCTGCGACGACAGACAGGTGGGCAGTGCCCCCATCATCCGGTGTGTAGAACTCGGGTTTGTAGTAGGAGATCGGGTGAGTGGTATCATCAGAGATCTGGGCCCGGAGCTGGGCAGCGAAGAACTCGGAGGTCATGTTGCGGACCACCTGCCGAGACCCCAGAGCTGGCCTGAGGAGGTGGGGAGGGAGGGTGGGGAGGGGGGCACAGGTCGCAGAAGGCCCCCGACTGTGGCTCTGACCACAACCCTCTGGCACCCACAGCCTTCCATGACTCCCCAGGGCTCAAGGACAGGCCCAGGACTTTGCATGACCAGTCTGACTCTGTCTCTGTCGCCTTCCAGCAACTCTGAATGTCTGTCTATCTGGCCCTCAGCCTCCAGACCCTTGCCACATTGAATCACTCATTCACTCACTCATGCAAAAATATATTTCTAGAGTTTGCACTGCATGCCTGGCACTGGAAAATCAACAGGGAACAGACACTTAGGTCCCTGCCCTCATGCCAAGAAAAACAAACGCACATGAGGAAAGTGCTGAAACCACAAACCAGGTAAGGGGAATTGAGAGGCATGAGGTATGGGTAGAGTGGTCAGGGAGGGCTTCTCGGAGGAGGCAACATGTGAAAAGAGCCTGGAATGCGGCCTTAATGGTCAGTGCAAAGGCCCTGAGGCAGGCGGTATAGGCTGGTAAGCGATAGGCAGAGAGTGAATGGGTTAGGGAGGAGAAGAATATGAAGATGCAGGCTGGGGCCCATCCCACAGGACCTCCTAGGTCCCATAATGGCTGGCTTTTGCTCTGTGCCACGCAGGCTTTGGGCAGAGGAATGAGCAGGCTGGGGAGTGTTTTCACAGGGTCCCTCTGAGAGCTGTGAGGGGGATAAGGATAAAGCCCAAAGGGGAGACTGTGGGCTGCGGGTATGAACCAGGCAAGAGATGATGGCCTGGGTAGGAGAAAGAGAAGAATTGAGGATGGCGCCAACTAGGGAGGCAAATCCTGCAGAAGGGGCAGGTTTGGCGATGGTCAGGAGCTTGCCTTTGGATGCTTCATCAGACCTGAAGAGCATGGGTGCATGTATAAGTATGGGTGCACCGGCAAGGGCGGGCTGAGGGATGAATATGGAGGTATTGACATTGAGAGGCTGCTGGATGCCACGAGCCTGGCCAAGGTCCCCAAGGCTGTGGCGAGGAGGAGATGAGGAGGTGAAGGAGGAGACAGAGAGGATGGGCCCTGAAGGCTGAAGAAAATGCCTCAGGAGAGTTTCAGCAACACCCCCACAGATTAGCAATCGCAGGGCAAGGTGCTCTGTCTGAATCTGCCCCTAAGGAAACAGAAAGGCAAATCCAGGATGTGGGACATCTTCCAAGACCACTGCCCCGGGCTTTAAAAATCAACAAAACAGGTCGAGCACTGTGGTTCACACCTGTAAGCCCAGCGCTTTGGGAGGCTGAGGTGGGAGGATCGTTTGAGCCCAGGAGTTTGAGACCAGTCTGGGCAATGTGGCAAGACCCTATCTCTAAAAAAAAATACAAAAATTAGCCAGGTTTGGTGGCATGTGCCTGTGGTCCAAGCTGCTTGTAGGGGCTGAAGTGGGAGGATTGCTTGAGCCCTGGAGGTTGAGGCTGCAGTGAGCTGAGATCACACCACTGCACTCCAACCTGGATGACAGAGACTCTGTGTCCAAACAAAAACACAACAGAAACAAAACAGCCAAGGGAGCCTACTGTAGGTAAAGAGAAGGGACAGCAGGTTGTGTCACTCCAGCATCCTGCTGTGGTATGTTCAAGTCTCACTCTTGAGACACACCCTGAGGTGTGACATCAGCAACAACCTACTGTCAAATCCCTCAGAAAAACACGAATCCCAATAGACGTGGGTGGAGACGGAGAGAGAGGAAATCCAGCAGAAACGTCCACACTGCGGACTCTAGGGAAAGGGAACATTGACACTTGGACGGTTTGGGGTTTTTTTAACATTTTCGTAGGTGTGAAAATTTGCAAAATGAAAACTCGAGGAGAGTGTGGTGAGCTGTGTGAGATGCTGTTGAGTGGGGCCTGATGGGGAAACTGAGGCTGGATGTGGCAATCTGGTGGCATGGGGATAGAGCAGGGGAGGGGACACCCTAAAGGGAGAGAGGACATAGCCCAGCCATGTTTGCTATAAGGGGAGCAGAGGACAGAGGAGGCAGCAGATGGAAGTTTCTAGAGCTACAAGAGCTGCCTTTCTTTTGGGAATAATCCGTTATAAAGAAGTAAATGGTCAGAGGCAGAGAGGAGCATTGTAGGAACAGTGCCCTGAGCCAGCGCGTGGACGGAAGAGCTGGCCTTAGCTAAAAGGGAGGGCAGAGGGACACGCTGTAGTGGCCCTGTCCCCTCAAAGAGACAAGACACCAGGTCACTGGCTACAGCAGGAGTCAGAGGTGCAGAATGCTCATGGGGAAAGAGAAGACACCACCCGGGCAGCTGAGGCCCCTCCGGGGAGGTCCCTGGTCAGTGTGGAGGGGTCTGCAGGTCTGCCC